CGAACTTGTATATATATATATATATATATACATATGCATATGCATATATAAATGTATGGATGTTTCAGAGGGTACAAACGGCATACGATTCAACTGTGGCAGAAGATGACGTCAACATACTCACTAGCGTACTTTAAGTTTTTTTCCCCCCCCATTTTATGTATTTTTTTTATTTATTTATTCATGGCATCCAAGTCAGCACAGTGGACGAGTGGTTGGCATGACCGACTCACAGTGCAGAGGTCATGGGTTAGATTACAGGGCTGCCTCTGCGACTTTCCTGCGTGGGTTTTCTCCGGGTACCCCGGTTTCTTCCCGCATTCCAAAAACATGCACGGTAGGTTCAATGCTGAGCCTAAATTGTCCGTAGGTGTGATTGTGAGTGCGAATGGTCGTAAATTGTGTTATCGGTGTGAAATTCAGGGATTCTTTTTCGTACCAGTAGCTGGGGTCGACGTTCCATACAATCACCGGCCCATTCAAATAACATTTCCGGGGGAAAAAAAAAAAAAAATTCCAGTCCATGAATTGTCGACTGTCAAATATGTTTTATTATGACACTTGCCTGCTCTCAGGATGCCATCGACCCGCAATTTTTTTTCCCCCCGAACTGTACTAGTTCCTCATCAAATCTAATCACCTGCCTCTGCAGGTTCCTTCATCCCCACTCCTCAAAATTAATGAGTGCGCTGCATGTATAATGACGCGCAGCTCCATCTCGCCGAATATGACCTCTGAAATCCCAATTATCTTTTATACAAATCATAAGCGCTGGCATTACCTGAATGCCACTTCCTACATGGAGATGCAGGCATTTTCAGTTTAGGTGCAGGTATAATTCGGTATGAACTACGGCCAGGTTATTTGCGAATAAATTCACGGAGGAAAACATTTTCAGTCCAGTTGGGTGGAATTCAAATTCTCCTAATTGTGGATTAACAAGAAGGATGACTGAGAACCTCCACAGGCACAAAACACTCATGTGAATACAATAGGTCCCACCTGGCTTTTATACCATTTTACGTCTTCATGAAAAGACTTAAAAGGCCCGCAGGGCATCCTTCTTGCTTAAACGGAGCTTTCAGTCAGAGTCGAATTAAAGCTTCAGATGGCAGGTATATTTTCTACAAAGCTATTCGAATGTAACATGATGGACGTCGAATCTTCCACGTTAGGAGACTCACACATGTGGCCCATCCAGCAGTTTCATGACGCACGCCTTTTTTTTTTTTTTTTTTTGCTTTAATTCAAATGGACATTGTGCTGCTCCTTCTTGGCCAAGAGTAAAAGGGCCAACGTGACAGAACATGACATAAAACAAAATCTAGTCAAAAGTCAACCAAAACGCGGAGCATGACACCTTTTTTTTTTTTTGGTCAAATGCTGCTGCGGTTGGAATCGTTTGATGGACTAATGAGAAAATAGGGGCAAGATTGGAGCACAGCTCAGGAGTGCGCTGCATGCTAAAGCGCGGATCCAGAGCACAGTGACTCAGTGTTCCAAGTAGTTTGTTCTCTTCCTTTCTGCTTCATTTGCATTCAGCCTGAAGCGCATTCCTCGAGCTCGCTCACACAGCGAGGCCAAGGTCAGGCGATGTCTCGCTCATGTCTTAAGACTTGGCGGGTCCGGACCTTTCCCAGATGCCACTGTCCCGCAAGCTCAAAGTAAACTCTCCGGTCACATCGTTAGCGCGACAGTACATGCGCAGACTGGATGGTTGGACGTGCTCAGAATTAACGCATCGCATTCATACTCGTGTCATCTGCAATTTCAAGAGTCTCTGATTGACCTGAAAACAAGTTCTGATGTTCTAGTAGGCTTTTTCTGACGAGCAGAAACCTGAAGGTTTTGTGCTAAGACCGACTGCTATTTTAACTGTTCGGAATTTCCCCCGGCTTGAGGAAATGACAACGCATTTTCGCACAATTCCAAAAAGTATGTTTATTTTGATTTCCCGTCTCAAAAAGATTGGGGGGGGGGGGCGGAGGGTGG